TCTCTGTACAAGGCAGGCTTCCTTCTTGGCTCACGAGAGGGACCTAGAAAGAAGAAGAATCCATGGAGCCTGCCCGGTGGGGGCCCCACCTGCGTCTTCTAAGGGGGACGGCTCCAGGGCTGTGAAGGCTTGTCCCCCAGCTGCAGGATGCTCAACCTCTTTGCAATAAGAGGTACATTGGGGGAGGGGGGATGAGTGAGGTGAGGAAAAGGGAAAAGATTTCCTCTCGCCAGAGGAGCTTTCCCCACGTTTCAGACCTGCTGGGGAGCCTCTCTTTCCTGCCAAGGAGGAGAGAAGGCCACCTCGGTTGGCCAGACAAGCCTCTCTGCACCCCAGCCTCCAACTCACTTCTTCCTGCGAATCTTGGGTTTCTTCACAGGTCGCAGATAAGGGTTATCGATGATGTTCTCCTCCCCATTCCGGCTTCCTGACAAGGAGGGGTTCTGCTGCAGGACAGAGGTGTTCTCCTTCTCGGCTCCAGAATCATCCTTTGAGCAAAAGCCGAAATAAAGCAAAATACCAATGGCATAAGGAAAGAGATCATGCCCATCGTAGGAACTACTATTAGCATCCCTTTCGTCAAGAAATTAGAAGCCCAGGGACCACTTTCTTGCTAATGTACCTATCCCTGCCCCAGATGAGATGAGGCCCAGGCAGGGGCCGGCTATCAGAGGAAGACGAGACCAACCACCTGGACACAGGGGAGCACAGAACCCAAAACTCTGAGCCTCTCGAGAAGACAGGGACATGAGTTAGAATAGAGTCTTGGCAGGGAGTCAGGGGCTAACAGTTAGATGTTCAAGGAGGAAACCCAGTCTGTGGGGAGATAAAGACAAAGAGAAGTGACCCCTGATGCTTTGCAGGACACAGGGCCAGAACAAATCATGTGCATAGGGAATCGCCCGGACCGAAAGGAATGAAAATCATGATCAATTTCCTCCATATTCTCAAATGTCTGGTACCTGCAACAGGTACCAATGATCATATTGCAGCAGAGGCCAGAAACTTCTTGAGCCCTGAGGGTTCCGGCCAAGGCAAAGCAGGGCATATGCAGGAACCAACACGGGAAGAGCAACGATAATCCCCATCAGTGACCTGTGGGTCAGGTCTTTCGTTGTTTGCTTTTTGAGGAAAACGATCTGGGAGAAAAGTTTATAGGTTTACATGTATCCAACGTGATCCCAATTAAAACATTTTATTTGTAATGTGTGTAGACATAGAAAAAATAGGTTGAAACATTTGAAACTGGTTCTAGGAATATGGATGATTGATTCTCTTTTTCCTTATTTATACGCTCTTCTATTTTCCAAGTTCTTTAAAATGAGCACAGGCTGTAGGAGAAGGGGGAGAAAAATCACACAACCATACTGAGGGCATGACCTAGAACTCAGGCCTGAGAGACTGTAAGTGACCAGAAGTTGGTGGGGCTGCGCCCCCTGGTGACAGGCCAAGGGTTCTGCCGCTGAGGTTCCTGTCAGGTAATGGAGGCAAAAAGAGGGCCTGACCTCAACCAGGAAATTCTGTTGTCAGGAGACAACAGGGTAGAGGACGCTGCGATTGGATAAAAGGAACAGCAGGCTTTCCCACAAGGGGCAGGAGGCCTAGAACAGGGACTCCTGTCCAGGTTTAGTGAGCCTGAAGAAAATGGCTCACTTCTAGGTTCAGCTGCTCACCCCTCACTGTCCCGCCAATTCTGTTCTCCCCGAAGACCCAGTTCCAATCAGGGTCCCTGGGCTTTCCCTCTCCAACACCTGGTCCGGTGGGACCACAAAGTGACCTAGAGCCACTGTGGACCTTCTGGAGGCTCTCTTGAAAGCGAGTGCTCCAAGGTCAACCTAGCTCATGCCGGACACAAGGTCTGACCATGACCAGACCTGCCTGGGATGTTTGGCTCCCAATCTTTCTGAAGTTCTAAACAGCTTGATTTACTTCCCTACTGTCCTCTCTCTACTGCAACCGCTCTATCCTCAAAGTTGCTGAAAGTTCACTTCAACGCTGCCTTAAAGTATTTCCTGAGATAATATGGATGGAAGGGGAGAGTCACGGGCATGGAAAAGCCAGCCCTGGGGACCTCTGCTGGAGGCCACTAGGCCCTCTCCACGCGGCTCACTTGTCTCACAAGGCCAGGATGTGGGTCCCGAGTCACGGGACAACAGCTTCTCTTCTCCCAAGTAGAGCTGGAAATGCCACTTTCTTGCCTCCTTCAGGGACAGGCAGCCTTGAGATAGGGAGGGACAGGAGTAGATAAAAGTAAAGTACCAAACTGACTGAGATTTGCTTAAAAAAGGTAGGAGCGGAAGAGTCCCTCAGGAGCCTGTGGAGGCCAGAGCACGTGAGCTCCGGTGAGCCCCACACGTCCTGGGGGTGACCGAGGCACCTCTCGCCTTCCAACGCCGTGTCCACGCCAGCAACTGCCACATGGGCCTCTCTGCCCTCGCTGCTCTCCTGACCCCCAGGCTGGTGTAGCCACCTGCTCCCTCGACATCTCCACCCGGTGTCAAGGACGCACCTCAAACTTCTGTGCCAGAAACTGAACTCCGGCCCTTCCCCGTGCCCGGTCCTCCCACAGTCCTCCATGGTGACTCCATCCTTCTAGTTGTTCAAGCCAAAACTCCACAGTCATCCTTGCTTTTCTCAGACTCCCCGCACATCCAATCTGTTAGGATAACTTGTTGGCCTTACCTTCAAAGTAAGGCTGACTACCACCACCCTCTCTACTGCAGCTGCCCTGCTGGACCCACACTCTTTCTCTAAGACCACTGCAGCAGCGTCCTAACTGACCTCCCCATAGTCAGCGATCCCTAGGGAAGTCAGACATGTCCCTCACCTGTTCCACACCCTCCCACCACTCCCGTCTCACCCAATTAAAGACCAGCTCTTAAAGCTGCCTGCGGGGTCCTACCTGGTCTGACCTCTGCCTCTCTCCCTCTGCCTCCCTCAGCCGCAGCCACAGCCACACTCACCTCTGTGTTGTTCCTCAGGGCCTTTGCACTGGCTGCTCCCTTTCCAGAACACTCTTCCCCAGATATTTACAGGGCTCACTTGCTCACTTCCTTCAAGTCTCCTGTCAGATGTGTCCTTCTCAGTGATGTCCACCCTGATCACGCTATTTAAAACTGAAACTTCCATCTTTCACCCTGGATCTTTCCCTACTTGGTCCCCTTGCGCCGACAATAGCAGCTTCATCTTTAATATACAGTAAATGATTTATTTACATATTACGTTTATTGTTGTCGCCCCACTGCCGACACACGGGCTTCCAAAAGGCAGATGTTTTGTTTGCTCTGTTGGCTGAGGTCCCCCCAAGCACCCACAACACTATCGGGCACACACCTGCACTAAGCAAATACTTGTTGAGTAAATGAATGGCACATTGTTCGTAAAAGAGCAAAAGTTGAGATGTTGGTATCTGGCGTTGGCAGAAGGCCGCTAATTCAAACGTACAAGAAAAGAAAATTCTCTTATACACTAATTTAAAATGAACAGTCCCTTTATGTTCAAGCAGATGGGAAAAACCAGAACCAGGTTAAAGGAAGCAACTCCCTGGCAACAGTCTTTGAAGGAAGTGCTGCCCTTGACACGTAAAAGAATAACTTACAACACTAGCTATTTAATGCACTGTAACAATGTCTGTAAACGCTATTGACGGAAAACATAGATGTGTATAGGGAGCTGGTTAAATTCGATAGTTACATCCATTCAATGGAATATGTGAAGCCATAAAGAAACAGCCTGCTGTACACAGATGGAATGATCACCGAGATACAGCGATAAGGGCAAACAGGAAGGGAAAACCGTTCGTGGTTTGCTATTTGTGTTGATAACAATGAGGAGACTATGTCTCTAGAAGGACACACCAAGCTGGTGACACTGGCAGCTTTGTAGGAGAGAGAGTGGATGAACAGGGAACACAGATGGCATAAAGAAATTCTTACCAAACATTTTTTTCTACATCGTAAATTTTCAAACATAGGATTATGGGCGCCAGTTCAACAAAGTAACACTGACAAGTCCAATCGATTGTGTATAAATTGTTGCTAGAATCCTCTCCTTGGGGTCTTCTTATTCATGTATTTACTTTTAACAGAAGAGCAAGTGTTTGTACAGCCTAAAACAGTGGGGGTGGGGTAGGTGGTGAGGGAAGCAGCGAGTGACGTGAGCTGAGCTGCTGGACACCTGATGTTCATTGCTGAGTTAGGTGTTCCTATTCCTGCTTGAACTTGTGAGGAAACAGACTCACGTTAGGTAAGGCCACCAAAGTCACAGTCTCTGGAAAGCAGCGTGGTCTGGATTTGAAGGCAGGCCAGTCTTTGCTGTCTGACTTGACCTCTTGGCCACCCCGGAGTCCACGGGCAGCTCCCAGCATTCTTTCAGCCCCGGTCCGCTCACTGCCATGACCTTGTATATGTCATGACCTGGGGCGTCAGATAACACATCTGCGGGCCCTTTTAACTGCTTTGTACTTACAAAAGGATGGTGGTGTCTGGTTAGAAGATTCCTCCTTCTCCTAGGGTGAACCTCATTTGAGTCCATGACCCCATCACCATATCTCAGACCAAATTAACTGAGTCCAAGACAGAAGTGTAGAATATCAAGTTCCTCTGCTTTATGTAAAGCCATGGGCTTCCAGCCCTAATTCTGAAAGGAATAATCCAACATTAAAGAAACGTGTGTCCAAGCAAGGAGGCCCATCGGCACATCACAGAGAGAGCGTAGGCACCTTGCCCCTGCATTCTGGAGCTGCTGGCTGCCACAGGCCTCACGGAATCTTAGAGAGCACGGGGAATGGCTGGTCCAACGACAACCGCCAAGGCATCCTTTGCTCTGAAGCCAGGGCCAGTCTTAAAGGATGGATGTGACTATGGTAGGCTGACCACAGGGTCCCGCAAGCCTTAAAGGCATTTGAGCTCCTAGCCCTTCTTTGGCTCTACTTGGCTCTTTCTCGCAAAGATGCAGGAACACGAGTGGGGTCTCAGCCTCTTATGTGCAGAGCACAGCACACGGCTAACCAGATGAGAACACCCACAAGCTCGGAGGAGCACATCTCACCTGCCTTGGTCTCTGTGCCCACGCACTCTCATCTCCTCCCCTGGAAACGAAATGCCCGTAACCAGGCCAACCCCGCCACCGCGCCTCGTCCCCTAGGTCCCTTACCCTCTCACCTACCAAAGGACATCAGTCCAAACTGTTTCCTTCTCTCCTGCATCCACTTTTCCTCTCTACCAGATCATTCCCGTCAGCGTACTGACATGCTGTTGTTTCTTTAATCTTAAAGAAACAAACAAAAATAAATATACCTCTCTCAACTCCTTAATGTTTCCCCTTTGGCCACCACTCCATTCTTCTCCTTCCCTTTACAGCAAAATTCCTTGAAACGCTTGTCTATATGAGTGCTGTCCAGTGGAACTTTCTGCAATGACATAAACGTTCCCATCTGCACTGCCCTGTAGGCTAGCCATTAGCCACAGGAGGCTATTTGAAAAGTGGCCAATGTGACTAAAAAACTGAATTTTTAGTTTTATATCACTGACATTAAGTTTCTTTGTTTGTTTACTTATTTATTTAGATTTTATTTTTAAGTAATCTCTATACCCAACATGGGGCTCGAACTCACAACTCTGAGATCAAGAGTCACACACTCCACAGACTGATCCAGCCGGGCGCCCCGAATTTCAGTGTAAACAGACACGTGGCTACCGTAACGGACGGCACAGTCTATGCTTACAGAGTCCAATTTTTCTTGTCCTTTTCCACCTCACCCACACCCAAGGCGCTCTCATGGTTTTAAACACGATCTACACGCTGATGACCCCAAATTCCCATCTCTAGCCTTAACAGCTCCCCACACGGCAATCCCTATATCCATCTTGCCACCCGACATCACCGTCTGGCTGTCTAACAAGCATCTCAAAGCTCCCCTGTTTAACCAGAACCCATGCCTTTTCCCCATCCCTGTCCCACCCAGGTCTTCCCGATCTTGGCTGAAGGCAACTCCGTCTTGCCTGCTGTTCAGGCAAAATACCTTGCATTTCTCTTTGGCTCTCTTTCTCACACATCTCACACCCAAACCATCGCTTGGCTCTGCCCTGAACATAGTCTAGAATCTGACCAAATCATCTATCTGACCACGTCTCCTTATCTTCACTTCTATTACCACCTTTCCGTTTACTGCGGAGCCTCCTCACTGGTCTCTCTGCTTCTGCCCTTACCGTCCACAGTCTATTCTCAACATAGCAACCTGACTGACCCTGTTAACAAACCTACACCAGACGCTGACCCTCCTCCGCTCAGCATTCCCAATGGCTCCCACCTTACTGAGCAAAAGCCTAGTGTTTAAGACAGCCTTTAAGGCGTGCCCTGCCCCACCCCCCCCGAGCTCCCCTTTATTCATGCCACCCTGATGGCATTGCTATCCTTCAACACAACAGTTCCCACCTCAGGGCCTTTGCATATCCTGTGCCTTCTACAAGGAGTACTCTACTCCCTGATCTGTACAAGCCTTGTTCCCTTCAGGTCTTCACTTTGATGTCACCTTCTCAGGTGACTTTCCCTCATACTGTACTACTTCCTATCTCCTAATTTATAATTTTTCCTTACCTACATGAGGGCAGGAAATGCTGTCTATTTTGTCTCCTGCTACTTCCTCATTCGAACTGCAGCTGGGTAGACACTTGTTCAATATTTGGTGAATGAATGAATGAATGGATGAATGAATGAATGAATGAATCCCCAGGGCATGGACTTGTCTCTCAAGCAAGAGATCGTCACGAGCCTGATCTCAGGCTTGCGGGGTGACAGGCTGAGGGCAGCACGGGCGACTTTTGGGGGTACCGTGAAGTGGATAGAAGGCAGGACCCACCGTGCTGATGTGCAGAGGGAGGTTCTCGGTGTCTGTCTGCTCATCCTGCTCCGAGGAATCTGTCTCTTCCATCTGTTGCATCTCCAGCTCCGAAGGAAGGAGGGCTGTCAGGTAGGGGATGGTGAAAGGCCTGGCAGCGATCACTGGGAAATCGGAAGAGGGGCACAATTCCAGTCACGGCGCCCTCGCAGCGGGCTGAGAGCCTGACAATCCCACCAACAGCAACGAAAATAGCAATGGCACGCGCCGAACACTCTCAGCTGGGCCGCCCCACACGTTATCTTTAATCCTCGCCTCCACCCTATTGAGTACAATTGCCAGCCCGTTTCACAGATGAGGAGGAACCTGAGGCACGGAAAAGCGATCTCCTTGAGCACACAGAGAACGGCAGAGCGACATCTCAACTCGGGCAATATGACCTCGGAGCCCACTTTTACCAAGTAGAACCAGACTCAGACAGAAATGGGGCTGCATCTGAGCAAAGCACCAGCTTAGTGACCTTATACCCCAGGTCAGTTAGCCCCGCTAAGCCTCATATCTGGGTAGGGATATCGATCTCTTCACCGTAAAGGACTCAAGTCCAAATACTGGACTTGAGAACTCTCTGCATGTAAGTATATCCACTGAGCTAACAGTAAACGAGCATTCCAGTTCTTCCAAAAAGCATTGATGAAAAGAAATTTTTAATAAAAAAAAAGAAAAGAAACCACCTATGTGTACTTCTATGGCAGAATGTGATTAGCAGAAGACACTCTAAGATTATTTTGGCTACGGCTCAGATGTGAAGTCCTGTGGTCCAAAAGAGCTAGGTTGAATTCTATCTACCAGCTGTGTGACTTGGGGCAGATGACCTCATTTCTTTTCTCTATAGGCCTCGGCTTCCTACGATGGTGGGGACAACAGTTCTGAACTCATAAGTTGGCTCACGAGAGGATTTAATGAGATAATATAAGAGAGATGACTGGCGCAGCGTCTGGCCCTTATGAACTGTTAGCGGCTAGTACTCGAGGGCCAGGCAGGCAGCGAGCACTCAATAGGGCTCGATAGGACTAACTGAACCAGTCGCCCAAACCAATCTCTCTGTTCACCTCTGAGAAAAGCGAAGCCTGTGGAGATGAAGTAACGTGGGCACACGGTGTCGTGACCGTTCGGAGATGAGAACTGCAGGGACATGAAGGGCAAAGACTGGGGGAGGTTCTGTAAGTGCCCCGCTCCCGATGCCAATGTCCCTTCTACTACAAGGGCTGTTGCTTCTACTGTATGAGTCTCTCTGATACCTGGGGCTCAGAGTCATCCTCGAGGTAGCTTAAACTCAACCTCAAGCAGCTGATCCCAACAGAGGCCGTAACATTTTGCATTTATCAGTTAGGGACAGGCCCTGAAGACCTGGGAGAAGGAGCCAGAAGTGCAAAGAACAAGGGGCCCCTAAGACAAAGCCAGAGCCTTCATTTCTTCCTACCATGCCAAGAGAAAAGGAAGATGGTGATTATTTCAAGTGACAAGACAGGGTCCACGGAGGGGAGAGACTCTCACATGGAAACGTGCTGACGTCGTCTTTGAAGAGACTCTGGGTCTCGCCTGTCTTTGCCATAAAACGGGTGAGTGCCCGCTCCACGTCTCGTCTCTGGGACGCAGCCTTCTCCCGTAGGACCTGGTAGTCTGACACGGGCTCGCGGTACGTCTATAAAGAGAACAGCAAAGACACTAGATTAATATCGATGGACCATCCTTGCTGCTGCTATGTCCTTCCACCCTCACAATGACCCAGTGACGTCAATGAGAGCCAAGACACCCCCCCCCCACCCCAGGGGCAGTGGAGGGCAGAACGAAAATGATGAAACTATCGCTAATTTATTTTGAAGTTTAAAAATTAGAAACATATGAACATTTACTATAGTGATTGCCCCTGGACCTTCACTTAGCTGCTGTGACATAAGGCATAGGAGACGCCATCCTGAAGGAAGGGTAATCCCCCCAGGGAAGCCCTGACAGGGAGCACCCAGCCCCACAGGTGGAAGGTGACATCCTACAGGATGTGAGTGGCTGCTTCAGTATCCCCTTGTTTTCTTAAAGCAAACCTCACACAATGGATACGCTGTCCCAAAAGAGTCCCTCCAAGAGACACTAAGGATATTAATGTAAGTGTAAATGAACAAGAAAATGGTGGGCTGACACTCCTCCCGCTCCTAATTACGAGCTCTTTGGCAATCACATCACACAGTGAAAAATGACCAAGATCCCATCAGAATGAGAAGTTAGCCAAAACATTTTAAATTGTAATGGGAAAGCTAACATTTTAATAATGACCAAAAAAGCACCTACTTTTCGTGCTATGGAGAGAGGATTTTTAAAAGAGGCATTGTAGGGGCTTGGTGTAGCCTGTTGTCCGACCAGCCAGGTCACATCCTCATGAATCAGGGAGTTCTAGGCCCCACGCCAGGGCTGATTCTGGGCTGATGGCTCAGGAGCCTGGAGCCTGTTTCCTGTGTCTCCCCTCTGCCCCTCCCATTCATGCTCTGTCTCTCTCTGTCCCAAAATAAATAAACGTTGAAAAAAAAAAAAAAAAAAATTAAAAAAAAAAAAAAAAAGAGGCATTAGGTTTGGTTGCCCAGTCGTTGTTAAGGCCCGGACTGCCTCAGGTCATGATCTCACAGTTTCAGATTTCAAGCCCTGCATCAGGCTCTGTGCTGACAGCTTGGAGTCTGGAGCCTGTTTCAGATTCTGTGTCTCCCTTTCTCTCTGCCCTTCCTCCCTCCCCACTTGTGTTCTGTCTCTCTCTGTCTCTCTCAAAATAAAACATTAAAAGAAAAGTCACCTGCTTCACTGACTGAGCCAGTCAGCTGGCCTCTATGGTGTTTTTTGCATGATGATTTATTTATTTATTTATTTTTTTATTTTATTTTTTTTTTTCTCAACATTTATTTTGGGACGAGAGAGAGACAGAGCATGAACGGGAGGCAGAGAGAGGGAGACATGGTGAACGGAACAGGCTCCAGGCTCGAGCCATCAGCCCAGAGCTTCGACGCCACCGAACTCACACGGACTGCCAGATCGCGACTCGGGTCGGACGCTGAACCCATCATGCCCACCCAGGCTTCTATTTATTTGTTTTTTTTTGAGCTCTGGGTACTAGTTCAACATGTAAGTGCACTTTTTAAAACTTCACCAAACTGTATATTTATTATTTGTGCTTTTCTGTATATTTGTGATACTTCAGTAAAAGTTTACTTAAAAAAAAAGGTATTGGAATCATTCCCACTGTTGTCAATGTTAATTCAAGTGCAATGTTAATTCAAGTTAATTCACCTATATAAAAGAAGTTCCACACTAAACATTAAAAAAAAGAAACAAGTAAAAAAAAAAAAGAGTGGATTGTGAACATACTTGTTAAACACATTAAAATGCACGATCCCACAATTATTTAAGTGTTTATTTATTTGGAGAGAGAGAGACAGAGACAGAGAGAGAGAGAGAGAGAGAGAGAATTCCAAGCAGGCTCCGCGCTGTCAGCATAGAGCTCGATGTGGGGCTCAAACCCACAAGCTATGAGATCATGATCTGAGCCCAAATCAAGAGTCAGATGCTTAACCGACTGAGACCCCCCCCACAGGAGCCTCAAGATCTTACAATTATTTTTAAGATGACTGTTTGACATTCAAGAAGCTGGACATTTAATAGGAAGCTTTAAAAGAGATTCTTGAAATAATTTGTAGATGAGAATGAAAAAAATTAGTTTTATGATTTTTTTTTTCAAATGACTTAGATTTAATCATCAGAAACAAACTAAGTGGAAAGTTTACAACAGAGAAGAATTACATGTCAGCGCCTTTTGCGAACCGAGCTGGGACAGAAAGGGGCAGGGGCTGCATCTCAGCCTTCCAAAGACACCCACAGTGTCCCTGGCAGTTTGGCTCAGGGAAGAGGGAGCCTCTGCTGGCTCTGTGCACTGAGGAGTTTTATGATTTCTTAAGGGCAGCTGACGATGCTGCATATCTTTGTAATGTGCCCTTTTCAACCATGAGAGCTGTAAAAGTACCAAAACAAACTAATTTTAGAATCAGACCTCCAGGGGGGCCTGGGTGGCTCAGTCGGTTGAGTGTCTGACTTCGGCTCAGGTCATGATCTCATGGTTCATGAGCTCGAGCTGCACATCGGGCTTGCTGCTCTCAGTGCAGATCCTGCTTTGGATCCTCTGTCACCCACCCCTCCCCTCAAAAATAAATAAACATTAAAAAAAAAAAAAAGAATCAGACTTCCAACTTACTAGTCCACCAAGTATTAAACAGAGATTTCAAAAAATAAAAAGCAGAGGCAATCCCATGGTTGTCATTATAAAAGAGGTAATACATTTCCTGAACCTTTAATATGGGTGAGATAATCTTTTAATGTATATTATTTTGGTATAGTGTTACATTATAATATTTGTGTAATAAGCAAATACCGGAATATGTACTTAATATTTTTACTGACCGAGATACACTATAAAAGAGTGAGGGACTGCTGTAGGTTGAACGGTGTTCTCCCCTAAAAAGAGATTTGTTGAAGTTCTAACCCCAGTACTGCAGAATATGATCTTATTTGGAAATAGGGTCATTGCAAGATGTAATCAGTTAATGTGAGGTCATACTGGAGTACAGTGGTACTAATCCAAGGTGACTGGTGCCCTTATAAGAAAATGGCCATGTGAGGAGAGATCCAAAGAGAATGCCACGTGAAGACAGTTGGAATGATGTATCTACAAGTCAAGGAATGCCACTGACTGCCCACAAACCACCCAAAGGTAGGCAGAGGCAAGGAAGGATTCTCCTACAAGGTGAGCCTGCTGACACCTTGATTTTGAATTTTTAGCCTCTCGAACCATAAGACAATGTATTTCTGTTGTCCTAGGCCACCTAGTTTGTGGCACTTTGTTACAGCAGGGAGCCCTAGGACACTAATATAGAGACTTCCAGTCAAGGAAAATGACTGTGTTGCAATGGTGGGTGGCCGTCTATTCCTAAGGTGTGGAGAGATGTTCTGGAGAACTTGCCCCAACAGCCTGTGTGATGGCCACATTTGCATTAGTGCATGGTGTGGAGGGGAGGACAGAAGAAGTATGTGAAGACCCCTGGGCACACCACACCTTCCCAAGGGGAGGTGAAACTGCTAGTTTGGCAAATGAAAACACATTCGAACGCTGGAGAACATAATTCTCCCTTGCCAAATTGTCTGTCAACGAGGAAGGACATTCTGAGCTCTGAACTACCCTTTGCCAACAAACTTTTGGACTCCAGTCTGACAGTCAGGAGGAACTGACTACTTTTGCATCCGCATTGGCCCCTGCCAATAGGGGGGCCAAATCACTCACCGGAGTTTTGATGTAGGTGTGAGGGTCAGGGAACTCGGGAAAATGGCTGGGGATGTGCGGCGGGTGGGGTCGGTTCTGCCCCGCAGTGAGGGCCTTGGGGGTCACTGGTTGATTGGTCACTGGAGCTGCAACAGAGTCACAAGCGGTTACTCCTCTGCCCCAGGCCGCGAGTCTCTACCCCGTCCCTCCTTTGCTCAAAGTAAATGCTGGACCTCGATGTTCTCCTTGTAGAGCAGGCACTTTGTATTTCTATCTATAAAAGTCCTTTCATGCCTTGAGGACCTGAGAAGGTCACCCCCACAATGCCCGGCCCTGCTGTATGATCTGCATGGGGAGACAGTCCCACATACAGCCATCTGCCATCATGCCTCATAGGTAGGTGAGTGGGTGGCTGTGACAAACACTATATAAGGAAGCACGCTGAGGAACTAAGGAAGTTGGGTGGGCTAGGAACAGTCTTTTCACAGAACCCAGATAACAAAGACAGACACTGGGCCAGGGTATGTCAGTGTGTGCTACTGGAAGCAAGAGGGGATTGAAAATGGCCCTTTCTAAAAGGGTACCAGCATGAAAAGAGTGCTGAAAAAAATCTAGTATATTCTCCCTAAGGTCCTACAAGCCCAAACTAGTTACTCCCAAGTCTCAGTTTATGGCACTCAGTTTAGTGAAGACAGAGGTCTTCAAACTTTTTGCATGAGGAACAGAGAGTAAATATTTTAGGTTTTGCAAGTCATATAGTCTGTGACGACTGCTTAACTCTGACATGATAGCATGAAAGCCACCATGGATGATATGTAAACATGGCTGTGTTCCAATAAAACTTTATTTATATAAACAGGCAGTGGCCCACATTAGGCCTACAGGCCATCGTTTTCTTGATTTACGGAAGAATGAGAACTTTTGCATTTTTCAAACGGCCCTTTTCTGGAGCTAAAGCACAAGAACCACAGCAACACCTCCAAGATGGTTTACTTTTCTGGTGACTGAATTTTGCACCCTAATCCTGTTAATCTAAATAGAGATCATATTGCAGGCAGCCCCAGATAATGGAAGGGAGTGAGCCTGTAACAAGCAAGTAGCTACAAACCGATCTCCGTCCTATTCAATGAATTCATTCCATGACTATTAATTGAGCACTTGCTGAGTACCTCAGTTCACAGGCACTTACGGGCAGTGATGACCATTCTCTGAGACCGTTTTGCATAAGCAGGGAGAGTGTCCACGTTGAAACCTAAGAAACAGGAAAGCTAAAATCACTGCCCAGACCACTGGCTATTGACCATGGAAGGGGAAGTCATACAGCAGTGGAAAAGGTTCAACTCCCAGCTTGAGGGCTTTGCGGCCACTCGAAAGCAGCTCCAGCAGAATCCCTCAACAGGGAAGAAGGGGATCTGTGAAATGGGTTCAGAGGAACCCTCTTTTGAGGGAGCCCTCTCTCAAGCTAAGAGCAAACCAGGAGACTCACGAGGGAACTCAAGAACACTCGGCAGACGTGGCTGACTCCTGGGGACTCTTCTTTCTCTCCTAACTCCAACTCAGTTGCACTGAAGAATTGGAAACTGGAGGTGTACTCACCCATCTCGACCAGCGTGACCACAATATCTGACAGTGTGGGCTGGGTCCGGGCTGTGTGCTCACAGTAGGACTTGGCACTCCTCCCAATTTCTGAAATGTCTAGGAAAGGATCAAAGGCATAAAATCTTACTCTCAGTTCCCAAGAAATTAAGTACAAAATTATCATAAGAGCCAGCAGTTCCACTCCTGGGTATACACCCAAGTGAACTGAAAACAGATACTTGTGCACCAATGTTCACTGCAGTATTTGCAATGGCCAAAAGGTGGAAACAGCCCGTTACTCATCAGCTGATGGATGGTTAAGCAAAATGGGGTCCACGCATACAATGGAATATTATTCAGCCTTCAAAAGGAATGAAATTTTGATACATGCTACATGGACAAACCTTGAAAATGTTATGCGAAGTGAAATAAGTCAGACACAGAAAGTCAATTTTTTAAGACTCCACTAATATGAGGTCCCTAGAAAAAAGAAAATCCACAGATATGAAAAGCGGATTCGAGGTTACCAGGAGCTGGAGGGAGGGAGGAATGTGGAGTCAAAGCTATGGATACAGTGTTTCTGTTTAGATGATGAAAAAGTTCTAGAAATGGATAGTACGGACAGTTGTACAGTTGTACATGTATTTACAGCTGTGAATGTATTTAATGCCACTGAATTGTTCATTTAAAAATGGTTATGGGAGTGCTGGGTGGTTCAGTTGGTTACGCCTCTGACTTTGCCTCAGGTCATGTCTCGAGGTTCATGAGTTCAAGCCCCGTGCCCGGCTCTGCGCTGACAGCTTGGGAGCCTGGAGTCAGTTTCAGATTCTGTGTCTTCCCCTCCCCCATCCATGCTCTGTCTCTGTCTCTGTCTCTCTCTCTCTCTCTCTAAAATAAATAAACTTAAAAAAAAAAAAGAGTTAGTGGAACATTTGGCTGGCTTAGTTGGTAGAGCATGCGACTCTTGATCTCAGGGTTAAGTTCAAGCCCCACGTTGGGATTAGAGATTATTTAAAAATAAAATCTTAACGGGCAGCTGGGTGGCTCAGTCTGTTTAGGCATCTGACTTTGGCTCAGGTCATGATCTCGCGGTTTGAGCCCCATGTCGGGCTCTGTGCTGACAGCTTGGAGTCTGGAGTCTGCTTCAGATTCTGTGTCTCCCTCTCTGTCCCTCCCCTGCTTGCACTGTCTCTCTCTCCCTCTCAAAAATAAAGAAGCGCGGGGCGCCTGGGTGGCGCAGTCGGTTAAGCGTCCGACTTCAGCCAGGTCACGATCTCGCGGTCCGTGAGTTCGAGCCCCGCATCGGGCTCTGGGCTGATGGCTCAGAGCCTGGAGCCTGTTTCCGATTCTGTGTCTCCCTCTCTCTCTGCTCCTCCCCCGTTCATGCTCTGTCTCTCTCTGTCCCAAAAATAAATAAACGTTGAAAAAAAAAATTAAAAAATAAAGAAGCGCAAAAAAAAAAACAAAAAAAACAAAAAAAGAACTAAAAGTTAAATAAAATAAAATCTTAAAATAAAAACAAACAAACAGAGTTACACCAAAGTCCTTCAGGGAAAAGGGGAGGTACGAAGCTGGGCTCCATAAATGGGCTCTGGAGGTGGGTGGGTAATTCCATCAAAGCTCTTGAAATTGTGCTGCACTTTACCTACAGAAAAGCCCTTTTCCAGGGATGGGTCCACAGATCTCACTCTGCCTGATGCTTATTACTAACACGAATCCTAAAACTTTGTATCCAGAGCTCTTTTATCTTTATTTTTTAAAATTTAAATTCAAGTTAACATATAGAGTAGTAGTGGTTTCAGGAGTAGAACTCAGTGATTCATCTCTTACCTATGACACCCAGTGCTCATCCCAACAAGTGTCCTCCTTAATGCCCATTCCCCATTTAGCCCATCCCCCCACTTACCTCCCCTCCAGCAACCCTCAGTTTGTTCTCTGTATTTAGGAGTCTCTTAACTTATTTTTTATCTTTTATCTTATTCCTTTCCTTCCTCTATGTTCATCTGTTGTGTTTCTTAAATTCCACATATGGGTGAAATCATATATTTATCTTTCTCTGACTGACTTACTTCACTTAGCATAATACCCTCTAGTTCCCTCCGTATCCAGAGCTCTTGACAACATGGAGGTGCCCAAGTCTCAGCAAGACCCCGGCATAAGCCATCTATCCTTGGTATTCCTTGGAGTGAAGCGGCAGACTTTTATGCTCTTTTCAGACCTTTTAGTTTCAATATTCACATTTTTCCAACACAGCTACTTCAGCTTCATCCCTCTCAGTGGCAACCATTTCTTCTGAGAGGAAAAAAAGGCCTCTTGCCCAGTGGTACTAGAAAGAACGACCTCAACCATGATGACCTTTAAACTCTGAATTCCAAGATCTTTTCAAGAACTGAATTCTCAGGGCGCCTGGGTGGCTCAGTCAGTTGAGCGTCCGACTTTGGCTCAGGTCATGATCTATCTCGTGGTTCGTGAGTTTGAGCCCCGTGTCAGGCTCTGTACTGATGGCTCGGAGCCTGGAGCCTGCTTTGGATTCTGTGTCTTCCTCTCTCTCTCTTTGCCCCTCTCCCACTCATGCTCTCTCGCTCTCAAAATTAAACACACATTAAAAAAAAAAAAAAAAGAGAACTGAATTCTTCTCTGTTGGGAACTATTAGTCCATTCCTTTAGGACAAAAGTTCTCAACATGTGGTCTGGGAATCCCCAGGCAGCCCTGAAATCCTTTCCAAAGTCCACAGGCCAAAACTATGTTTATAATAAAGTGAAGACATTCTTTGACTTTTTTACTCTCGTTTCTCATGTAGTTTTCCAGAGGCTATATGGCCTATGATGATGATATCATGGGTCTGAGGGATAATGGAATGTGGGCCTGCATATGTATACGTTCGAAATTTTCTCAATTTTACTTTCTAATGTGGCAAAAATCTCTCTACATAAAGCCCATGTAGACAAAACTCCTCAGGTCCTCGATATTTAAGAGTCTAATGAGGTCGTAAGACCAAAACATTTGGTATTTAAAAGTTCCAAACATCAGCTGCAGAGAGCCACCTCACCCCAGACCACGTCCTTCCTGGGGCAGCCCACACTGAGTGCCTGATCAAGATCTGAGTACAAAGGCAGGGCCTTTTCAGCCTGATGTGGCCTACTCTGATGGAGGACAATTGCTCCAGAGCTCCCCAGTGAGGTGACCAATTCTTTATTTGGCCTGAATTGCGGTTAACTTCTCCCCCTGCCTAAACTTTTCTCTCACATTCGTAAGTGCTGATCTCTCAAAAGACACCTTAAATACCCTCATCTCTCATTCCATCCTACCTCATCCCTCCCACCCGAAATAAAACCCAAGCAGGGAAATACATGGCATACGCAGAAAAGGCTTTGTGAGACCATTCCAGGCTCCTAAACCTCAACATGTTTCCTTTATTTATTTACTTATTTTAATGTTTTTACTTATTTTTGAGAGAGAGAGAGACAGAATGTGAGCAGGGGAGGGGCAGAGTTAGAGGGAGACACAGAATCTGAAGCAGGCTCCAGGCTCCAAGTTGACAGAACAGAGCCCAACGCGAGGCTCAAACCCATGAACCGTGAGATCATGACCTGAGCCGAAGTCAGAAGCTTAACTGACTGAGCGACCCGGGTGCCCCAACATGTTTCCTTCTAAAAGTGTTTTTTTCCAGAGGTGTCTGGGTGGCTCAGTTGGTTAATCATCTGGCCCTTGATGTCGGCTCAGGTCATGGTCCCACGTGTGTGGGATTGAGCCCTGCGTCAGGCTCTCCACTGACAACATGGAGCCTGCTTGGGAGGCTGCCTCTCTCTCTCTGCCCCTACCCCCCCCTCAAATATAAATAAAAAATAAAAGTGTTTTTCCATTCTATAAAACTTCTTTACCGTCCCTCTTTGAATCACATACTATAGCATTTGATTATGCAGTGTGTAGCATCTATTTCATGGGAATTAATCATAGCTCTGCAACAAAACTATAACTTCTTTGAGCACAGAGAACAGACAGCAGTAACAGCACCTACAAATCATCATGAGCTTACAATATTCCTAACATCATAGGTTTTTCATATGCACCTCATTTATACTCACAACTCCATGAGATACAAATTATTATCCTATTTCACAAATAAGGAAATTGAAGTTCAGGAGGTTTAGTGACTTGCTCAGGCTATGAAGGGGCAGAGCAACAACGTACACCCATGTCCATCTGATTCTAAAGCCTGTAAGTCACTTTACTGTGTTCTTCTTATTCCTAAACCCTCTCTTACACCATCACATTGCAGGACACAGAACAAGATGTCTGGTTGACTTGAAGAGGGCCGATTGTTTCCTGGTACTTACAGCTCTGCAGCATCTCTGTCAATGTTTCCACAGATGCTTTCTCGGCACTCTCAAACCCTGCCTCTGTCAACAAGGAGCTCACGACCACCTGAAGGGTTCGCCTCCGGGCCAGATGGTAGTTATCAGCAGGATTAGTGGACTGTTTACTTCCTGATCTCTGCAAATCAGTACCATTAAAATAA